GGGTCTTGGCCCCCCATTGGTGGTTTCCAAGGCCACCAGTTTTGTATCAATCAATGTTCCCGATCTGTTTATCGAATTCTTAGGCCCATTAAGGCTTCTTGGTGCAGGTAAATGCTCGAGGAACTCCAAGCACGATGCATGGTAGGACCTCTGCTGTGCTTCCTTCTCGGCATTTTTACATAAATGTGTTTTTTTTGTAGCATTTTTGCTGCATTTTGGAAAAAAATCAGAAAAATGCATTTCTGAAAGAAAGAAGAGCCCCCGATCCATGGAAAGCACGCACAAGAATGCTTGTTAGAGGGGTTCAAATCATTCAAATGTGTAAAATAGCACTTTTTGTTACCCTAATGCTGTATATCAGCCACCATATGCTGCCGACTCTTACCGTTACCTCACTCACCCTTCTTCAAGGTCCGCCAGAGAGCCCCTGCCAATGTCTGCTGCTTCCTGGCTATGTGCAGCTTCCTGTCTTCCACAATGCGCAGTGCTTGAGAACTGTCACATGGGGGAGCTTAGACCCTGACTTTGGGGGGGGGGGGGGTGATGGTGGTGACAGGGAGGGAAGTAAAAATAAGACGAGGGCCTGGTGCCTGCTATTCAGTTTTATTTTTCCTTATTTTAAAGTGACACTAAACTCCGGAGTTAAATCCTTAACCTCCCCGGCGGTATTCCCGAGTGTAGCTCGGGGGTTACTTTTCCATACCGTAAGCGGTGTCCCCCGAGCTACACTCGGGAAAGCCGCATTGCATTTACTTACCTTGTCCCTCGAGCCGCGCTGTGTTCTGCGGCTGATGCCGTCTTCCGTAAGAAAAGAAATAAGAAAACAATAAAACCAGACAACCGGGTTAACATAACCCAGAGACAATTGTCGCACCGTTGTCATGTAACCTACATGTTATGCTTACAAACGAACAACAATGTATCTTATTTGTCCCCCCCCCCTCCAGAAGGAAGGACAGTGTCAGAGATGATTGGAGGATCTCCAGCCGAGTGACACACAAACAAGATACATTGTTGCTCAGAGTTCGGGGACTCGGAGGGATTTTTAGGGTTGATCTCCGGAGTTTCGTGTCACTTTAAGAAAACCAACATTTCAAAAAAAGTCGATCGGGTACCAAGAATGACAATTTACATTTTGAAAGCTCGTAACATGTATAATGTCACCGTGAACTCAGAGACGCTATATTGTATAAATATTGCGGTTCAAACTGGTCCGAAAAAGGTGCAAAAGCTGGAAAGTTTTGTAGGAATATATCTCTGTATAAATATTACAATCATTAATACTTTAGTCTATAACATTGACGCAGAACCTGAACATCACCATTGGAAGTGGCAGCAAAAATTGGTCATGAAATGACAGATCCAGATTCACCATTTAAAACAAAACAAAAAAGATTTTTAAACACGTAAATGTCAAATCCTCAGCGATCCTCATACACTTAACATTTCAAACTGCTTATAGAAATCGTGTATATATATATATATTAAATAGAGCGCGCGTCCTTGAGAACGGGAGAGTTACCCGACGATGTGCAATCCCTCATTGTAACTGGATTCAATATTTATTATACATATTGCAGCTCTCGGTGTTGTAGTACATTTCAGGGGGTTTTATTTCTCCATTAGATTTTTGCAGCGCCGGCTTTGTACATAACAAAATTATTTTAAGCGTAGAAAAGATTTCATTTAGCAGTTCATTTTTTTTCTTCTATTTTTACGACCAGAATAAGAACAAGCCAGCCGTGGGCTGGCAAAGAACAAAGTGACCGTTCTTTCATTTGAAACTTGATTTTGCTTGTATAGAAAATACACTCGCAGATGTTCTTTCCCCCCTAAGTGTTATAAGCACTGGATATAGAAATGGTATTTTTTATCAGTTCTGACTAATGTGAAAACTGTTGTATGAAAAAACTTCACAAACAAAAAGGTCATCTGTGTAGACGCGGGTGAGCCGCGTCTCGCACTTTTTTTTTTTTTTACGATATATTTCAATTATTTATGTAGAATACACGCTGAAATCTAAAACGCTCAGCGTAAGCCCCCGATCTCCCCTCCAAAGCTTTGTGCTTGTTCAACCAATCATGCCATTTAATTGAGGTTAGACCTCCTCTGAATATAAATATAAGCACGCTTCACAAAAATGTTAAAGTAACAAAAATTAAAACATTTTATTAGACCGTAATGACACAAAACAGTGACAATCATCAAATTAAATTCCTGGCTGGAACAAAAAAGACAATTCATTCTCGATCCCAGTTTTTAGTTTTTTTAGAATTGTATAAATATGCCGCGGGGCATACATGTCATTTTGTTTTCTTCTATATATTGCTACTTATGTATTAACTTTCCCCTTTGTTTTAGCTTTTGTACATTTTAAAAAGGAATATAGCCCAGTGACAGACAAGACATTCAAATGTAATGGTTAGTAAATGTCAGATCTCCCCGCAAGGGTGGCTAGGTAAAAAGATTTTGTATGAAAGACATTATCATCGTAGTAAAAGAAAAGAAAAACGATACATTTTTAATATGTATGCGTGTGTATATATGTATTAAAAAATGTATCTTTTTTTTCCCTATAATTTATATATATATATATATAATTATAGAAATGTTTTTAATGTGTGTGTGTATATATATATATACACTCACATATT